GCTAACCAGAAGGCTGGAGGTTCAAACCCACCAGCCATTCCTTGGTAGGAAGACTGAGCAATCTACTTCCAAAGAGATACCACCTTGAAAACCCAAGAAAGGGTCATTAAGAGTCAAGATTGACTCGATGGTAGTGAGTTTGCTCTATATTAGAAAGAGCCCTGGTGGAGCACTAGTTAAGCGCTTGGCTCCTAACCAAGAAGTCAGCAGTTCATATACATCAGTAGCTCCACAGGAGAAAGGTGTGGCAATCTGCTTCAGTAAAGATTTAGTCTTGGAAACTCTATGGAGCAATTCTAATCTGCCCCACTGGGTCACTATGAGTTGGACTCAAGTAGATAACAACAGGTCATAGGTACTATATTAGCTGGTGACGAGTGCTACCAAAAAGAAAAAGCAAGGAATGAAATTAGGGAGCTTCAGGATGTGGGTGTCATGATGTGTTATAATTGAAATAAAGTGGCCCAAGTAGTGCAGAACAGTCCAATGTCCTATACAACTACTGAATGTCCTACTGACATTTATATAGCTAAAAATTCTACTCATCATTATCTAAGCTAAGAACTCATCTCCATTCCAGATATGAACTCCTTGTAATTTTAAAATTCTTTTGATAAATTCTTGGAATTTTCTAGGAATACAGTGGCAATATAAAAATCCAGGAAAGACTGTAGACATCCTTTTGCTGAGAACTGTACCAACAAGTGTTTACCACTTTGGAAATCAAATTACAAATGGGAATGCCATTGTGACATGAATGGCCTATATAACACATTTGATCAGTCTTCATTTGTAGGTTTGAATTCACATGTTAATCATAAGTAAAGCTGCAAGTACATGACTATTTTGTTATGTTTTCTAGTGCAGCCATGCCAGAACACTGATTTACTGAAAAATATTACTTGGTTATAAATTATTTTCCTTTTATTTGTCCTTCACATTTCCTTTAGGACATTTATACTGATATATTTGAAAATTCTTATACATGTTGTTTATGTTAACAATGAATTCCATTCAAAACATACAGTATTATGAAATACTGTATTTATTATAAAAAAGAGATATAGGGTTGGTAAGGTTGAGAACCATGGTTTAAAGTCAAACGTCCATCTACGGGATGTTGCCTTACCATGGCTATCATCGCCAACACTGACCAATTTTTTTATCTCATTTAGTTCAGCTAACGAGTATCTTTTTTAAAAATTAAAAACTTCACAAATACTTGATAGCTATTAGCATCTTTTTTTCTGAAATATAAACAGGTTTTACTGTACCCCCAGAAATGTAAACATCTGCTTAGGGCAAAAGTTAATAACTCTGCTGCATGGAGCACTTTTTTGGAATTGAGTAATTTTGTCCGACCAGACAACAGCTTACAAAGTAAAAGTGAGAGGAAGCAAGGCTGACAGAGTTTAAAGATGAGCACAAAAACAGCAAAGGCCAATGTCACCAAGGGTTTGTTCTAACTAGGGGTCTGAGGGAAGAAGGAAGAGAACAAGATGGGAATACAAGTCTTCTTTTCATATTCTCTTGTATCAACAGCCTCCCACGCCAAGGACTGTCCCAGATTCTGGAGATACAATAAAGAACAAAATAGGCCAAGTCCCTGCCATCAAAGCTTACAGCCTAAGGAGGAAAAACAAAAGATTAATATAAAAATAAACAAATATTTTGTATGTCAGGTAATAATAAATCCTATGAAGAAAAGTAAAGCAGAATTAGGAGAATAAGACTGAAAGGAATAGGGGTGTGTTTTGTTACTTGTAAGCAGATTATAAACACTGTTAATAGAGGAAAAAGGTGTTGAAATTTCCAAACATGCAATATGAATATATTCATAAATTAGAAATGTCTGTCTGTGTGAAAACTAACAGAATATTTCCTGTAGAGTCTGAGATACAGGTCCATACTGAGATATGGATTTCAATAGTGGTGTTAGCCTCTGTGTTCTCATCCTGCCTCTAGTTATTTTTAATAATATCTCATATTGGCATAAATTTTATGGCTTACAAAAGTATTTCTCATATTATTTCATTTGATTGTCAAAAAAATCTTGAGAAATACACAATGCAAATAGTATTATTTCTATTTTAAGGAAGAGTAAGCTGAAATTACAGAGGCCAGGAGTCCAGAAAAAGGTCACAAGGCGAGTGAGGTATTCTGACAACAACCAAGTTAGAAGGTGGTGCACAAGAATCAGCACTATTCCCAAGTAGGAAGCCAGAGAAGAGGTAGCCCAGAGGGTAAGTATATTTTTCTCTCTTAGGCCTCCCCAGCAGAGCTTCTCACACCAAGTATGTTGTAGTTTCATGCATATAAACACAAGTGTTTTCATCAAGTACATACTGACTGGGAGGAATTTTCATACGGAAAGTTTTTTTTTGTTTTTGTTTTGTTTTTTGAGTATATTACCCACTGCCACTGAGTTAATTTTGACTCATACAGACTCTATACGATACAGAAGAACTGCCCTATGGCGTTTCTAAGGCTGTAAATCATTACAGAAACAGACTGCCATAGCTTTGTCCCACTGAGGGGCTGGTGGGTTCAAACCACTGACCTTCCAGTTAGTAGCTAAGCCCTTTAACTTTTAACTGTGCCACCAGGGCACCTATACTCTATTAAGAAATTTTAATTCCATTACCTACTTTCTATTAAAAACACTTCATTTTCTTGTTATTGAAGTTATTTTATATAAGCTGGGTAAATTTTACAACAAAAGTTTTTCCTAACCATAGCTCCCCCATTATGATCTAATTCAGTGGCAAATATTGAAATAAACTATTTTTTCAGATCATTTATGATATTTTCAATATTACCAACAAGATTGAAGTGTTCGGTTTATTATTCACAGCAAATTAAATGACATGCATTTCAGCCTAAAATTTTTAGGATTTCTTTGGGTTGATTATTTCTATCAGTAATTTTTATTACAAAGCCATTTACTAGCTAATATAGGAGGAAATGTTAAGCAATTTCTCCCACATCATAAAATGAATCTATTGAAAAGAGTTGGTTCTTGTTACTGCACATATTGAGTCTATTGCAAATAACTTTGTTCACCCTGAAATGATAGTTGACAGACTTCAGAAGGAGAAATGACACACACATCTGCGTCAAAGCAGAGGGCTTAAAATATCCATCTTCCTTTCCCAAAGGTCAGCAGTAACAGCTTAGGTAAAAAGAAAAAAAGTAAGAAAATTATGCTGGGTGAGAGTGATAAATGCACCTGGACATATAAGGCATAATGGGATTCTGGAGTTATTTATACCATCAGGAAGATGATACGGAGATGATGAAGTAGTAACACTCAAATAAGAGAATAACATTATTGTATGTGCCTCCTCCAAGAGAATATACACTCCTGAAGGACAGAAACATGTCTCAGACTTCCTTCCACTTATACAGTAACACAGATCTGCAAATTAATACAGGAGATTATCTATTCAGCAATTACCCCTTTAACTTAGTCTATCACTGTTTCAAACATATTAGCCAGTATGCTTCTTTACATACCTTTTCTTTCATGGTTTTTATCTCCACTTCATCTACCTTTCTCTCATGTTGGCTTTCTAACTTTTTAATTTTCTTTTGGAGTTCTTCAATTAAACTTTGTTTACTATCTAGCAGAAGTTTGCCCTGAAAAATATAGATGTTTCTTTACAGTTTAGAATATAAAAAAAAAAAAACATAATTAAAATTGCAATTACAGACACTCTGAGGCTACTGCTAACAATACGTCATAAATGATATTATTATGTAAGTATAAAATGGTAGCACTTTCTGCATTTTAATAAGTTATGATGTATAAATACAACAGAGTTCAATGATGGAATTGTTGTTGTTGTTGTTGTTATGTGCCATCGAGTCAGACGTGACTCACAGCGACCACTCCTTGGGTTTCCGAGGCAGTATCACTATGGAAGTAGATTGCCCAACCTTCCTTCCGAGGAGTGGCTGGTGGGTTTGAACTGCCAGCCTTCTGGTTAGCAGTCAAGTGCTACCAGAGCTCCCATGATGGACTTAGTTACACAAAACAAAATGATTTGAAAGCTATTTTCCACAAACATTATAAATGAATAAAAACCAGGAATAAAGTACTACCTATAAATGATAAATCAGAGATTATCACAATCAAATATAAAATTACCTGTAATCCACTGGTTAGTCTTTTAATTTGCCTTTTCAGTTCATCATTCTCTTGATCGAGTCCATCTTTCTCTCTAACTATTTTATTGTAGGCTTTTTGTTTTTTTTGCAGTTCATTGTTTAAGTCATTCAAATTCTCAGCTAGTGTGTTTTCTCTATTCTTACTTGTTTTCAAAGCTTCTTTCAATTTTAAAAGATTTTCACTTAAATCTTCAATTTGTGACTAATAAAGGATAAAAATATAATATTCACCAAGTATCAATGATAAAAGCAATATAAGCCTGAAAGTGTATATAACACTTGGTAAAAAGAAAATTTCAATCTAAATTTTTGTTAAGTACACAAGAAATAAAATACATCAAATATACTACCTTCAATGAACATCAAGAAACAAAATTTTATCAAGTAACCAAATGTTTTATTATGGCTTAATTATTTAATTAAGTACATAGCCATGTGTAAGGCAATGTTTCAAACACTGACGTATAATGTTTTAAAAGAATACCATAAAACAATCTCTGACTTCAGGTAGTTTAATTTACTTTGCAAGGACAAAATATAAAAGGATAATGTCAGACAGTATAGTATATGGAAGCCATTAGAAAGGACTTCCTAGTGGCCCTACATAGTAACAGTGATGGAAACACTGGCTGGCACTTCATATACAGTTTGTTGAATAGACTATCAAGTCAAATAGTCAGAAAAGGAAATCAGTATTATTGTAATTCAATTTAAAGGAAAACAAACTGTCTTAGAAAAAGAATGTGAAGAATTTCATGAATTCAGAGAAGAAATTTCATGCTAAGAAAAAAGCACAAAAAAGGCATCAACAAAGGGTCTTTCTTACTTATATGTTGATTTATTTAATGGATTTTTCTATTGTCCTCTATGCTTATAATTTTTATAGGTACAATGCTGTGGTTGTTAGGTGCCATCTAGTCAATTTTAACACAAAGCGACCCCATGTGACAGAGGAGAACTTCACCACTACTGGGTGGGTTTGAACTGTCAACCTTTCAGTTAGTAGCTGTGCACTTAACCATTAAGCCACAAGTGCTCCTTTTATAGGTACAATAAAACCAAAAACCTATTGCCATCAGGTACTTCTGGCTCATTAAAAAAACTCACTGCCGTCAAGTTGAATACAACTCATAGTGACCCCTCTCGGGTTTCCAAGGCAGTATCACTATGGAAGTAGACTGCCCAATTGTCCTTCCACGGAGTGGTTGGAGGGTTTGAACCACCGTCCTTCTGGTTAGCAGTCAAATGCCTTAGGCATTATGCCACCAGAGCTTCTTCTGACTCATAGGTGGCTTAAAAATTTTGAGTAAAATCCAGTCTCTATACTCCAAAGCACTTATGAAAAATATGCACACATAAACCAAGAATAAATGAAAATTACAAACAAAATAAAACATATCAAGACTAGATTTCTGTCATTTTACTCAGAAAATACTGTATAAAACTTTATAAATTTGAAAATCATGATGAAATATATGTTTTGGAAAAAGTTTAAATCACCAAAATTAATGGTGAGACAAAATAGTATGTTGTCAATAAACAAATAAATAACTTTAAAAAAGACTTCAAAGCCAGGTAGCAATATGGGCTGAATGTTTTAAGGACTACATGATTTCTATAAACTATTTCGGGGGGAAAAAAAAGAAAGTTAAATAATTGGTATTATGAATTCCCAAAATCTAGTCAGAAAACTCTTATAAGACAAAAGAAACAAAAAACAAAAAATCTACACATCCACCTCATTTATAAGACACAAGCACACTTGTTTTATCCTGTGCTTTGCTTTACTGCACTTGGTAGACACTGCATTTTTCACAAATTGGTTTGTATCAGCCCTGAGTCATGTAAGTCTTTTGGCACCATTTTTCCCATAGCATGTGCTCACTTTGTGTCTCTGGTCACATTTTGGTATCTCTCACAATATTTCAAACTTTTCATACTGCTGTTACATACTTAATAAATTACAGTACAGTATAAACATAACTTTTTATATACAGCAGGAAACAAAAAAAATTGTGTTACCCGCTTTATTGCATTATGCATTTTATTGCATGGTCTGAAACCGAACCTGCAATATCTCCAAGATATGCCTGTAGAAGTCAAACTCCTAAATAAAATGCTTCTTAAATACAATTTTATTAGGAAGAGTAGCTCATAACGGCCTATTCTTTTCTAACCAGTAATAATATGATGATGTGTCTCAGTACAATGATAGTGTAAGTACCATGAAGATACTGACTCTTCAAAAATGTTTATGTGTGTGTGCATATCTGTCTACCAATAATTCATTACACTAAATTCCCTATCCACTATCAAAATTACTACATTTCAAAATTAATTCTCTTCCAGTGGGAATTATCAGGGATTCTGTTACATTAATGTGTATGTTGGTATTCACCTTTAGCTCTCTGGTATGTCGATCAACAATTTGCTGAACATTGAGATTTGTTTCTTTCTGAGAAGCTGCAGAAATAATACGTTCTTCAGCTGCTGCTGTCATCTCTGCCCGAAGTTCCAAAAGGGCTCGACTAAGTGCCTAAAATTTACAACATACAAAATTTTCTTAACAAAAACTGGTATTTTATAATGAATGTATAATATAAAAATAAACAAGATTTATTACTTTATATTAAAATACAGTGTTTAATTAAACTGAATTAGAAAACAATTCAACTCTTTCAAATTAATTTCCTTTAATAATGAGGCTTAATTCTTTCCAAATTGGCTATGAAAATTCAGAATCTTGAAAAAAATTATTTTGATAACCCAGAACTAAATCAAACAATTTGTACTACAAAAATTGGGCATGTTTTATTTTCAAATATTCAAGTTTAGATATTTACTTAAATCCTTCCATTTGAAGTGAACAGATTTTAAGTAAACAAGGAAAATTATGGGATTGGAGAAGAAAAAACTGCCAATAATTTCAAGCTAGTATAAAAAAACAGAGCTCTGCTGGTGTAGTGACTAAGGCATTTGCCTGCCAACCAGAAGGCTAGTGGTTCAAAAACCCACCAGCCACTCCTCAGAAAGATTTGGCAATCTACTTCTGTAGTGATACCACCTCGGAAACCCAAGGAGAGGTCGCTGTGAGTCGGATCCGACTCCACGGCAGTGAGTCTGGTGTTGGTTATACTTTCTAAAACAATTTGAACATACACAATTGGACATAAATGAAGAAACCTAATAAATCAGATAATCTACTGGCCAACACCTTCTCACAAGACTATCTCTGTGACTCACATCTTTATTGTCTCTTCCTCACTACTGCTGTTGCTGGTTGCCATAAATTGGGCCCCATACTCATGATGACCCCATGCACAGCAGAATCAAATACTTCCTGCTTCCGAATCCTGTATCATCCCCTTGGTCAGTTGTGGGTTGGACTGTTATGATCCACAGGGTTTCCAATGGTTGATTTTCTTAAGTACATCACCAACCCTTTCTTCCTAGTCTATCTTAGTCTAATAGCTTTGCTGAAACCTGCTCAGCATCGTATCAACATGTAAGCCTCCACTGACAGGCACGTGAGGACTGTGTATGAAGTACATCGGACAGAAATTGAACGTGGGTCTCCTGCATGAAAGACAAAAATTCTACCACTGAATCACTAATTCAGGTCCTTCTTAATCCTCCAAACTTTCAAAATAGTATACCCCCAGTAACTATAGTTAAAATATCAGCAGAAAAGGTGAGAAATAAAGTAATTCAGACATCACTGCACTTCCTACAGAAAACCCACAAATCAGATAAATGACAAACAACTTAAAAACAAAAACTGGACATCGAATTTATAAAAAACTATCAATAAACCTATTCAAAACTATTATGTGGAAAGACCTTGTTTAACAGCGTTAGACAAGGCTCATATTTTTTTATCACAGTATTACCATTTTGTTTACAAATTTACAAACCTTCTCTAAAAGCAATCTGTTGTTGCTGAGTGTCATTAAGTTGATGTCAACTCATAGCCACATTATAGGACAGAGCAGAATTGTTCCACAGGGTATCGTAAGCTGTCTTTATGGGAGCAGATCACCAGGTCTTTTCTTCCATGGTGTCAATGGTGGGTTAGAACCACTAACATTCTGGTTAGTAGCTGAGCACTGAACCATTACACCATCAGAGCTCCTTACAAAAGCAATCTCCCACCCGTTTCTCCTGTATGTTGATAATTTTCTGTTGTTACTTACTTTCTGTTGCTTCTCTTTCAAGGCTAATTGACTCTTTAGCCGTTCTACTAGATTCCTCATTGTAGTTGTAGGAGCTCTAGAATTTGCTTCTTTTTGAGCCTGAATTTCAGATTTCAAACTCTGTGATTCCTTTTGTGATTGGGCCAGAAGACACCTTAAATCTTCGACTTCTGCTTTCACTTTTTTTACTTCATTTGCATGGTTTTCTTGGAGTCTAATATAAGCAAACAAATATATTTAATAGATGTGCAAATAGCACTTCTCTGACTGCTACAAATGTTACAAAGAACAAATTTTAAGTATCCTTACAACCTAAGTCTTGATTAGACATAAAAATCCAAAAAAAGAAAAATTCTTGATTCCACTTAACTTCTCTTATGCTTAGCATAAATCAGACTTTTTTTCTTCTAGTTTTTGTCTACTATTTTTGACAATAATATTGTGTTACTTTGTGGCTCTAGTCAAATATAGAAAATGAACAACAACAACAAAAAAGAGTATTTTAAGCATTTTCCAATAAGGTATGACTTCTTCCTCTACATCAAGATTTCTCAACAACTATACTATTGACATTTTTTATGCAATAATTATTTGTTGTTAGAGGATGTCCTATGCAATGTATGATGCATAGCAGAATTCTCAGCCCCTCCCCACAAGATGCCAACAGTGCTCCCTAGTGGTGACAATAAAAAATGCTTCCAGACATTGCCAAATGTCGCCTGGGAAGGCAAAATTAACCCTAGACAAGAACCATTATTACTCTATATTGTCATGTTATAAAGGCAGACTATAAATTTTCTCAGAAATCACATGTATTATTAACTTATGATTCCAAAGTAACTGTTACTATGTTAACATGTATATGTATATGCATAATATATATATTACATATGTTATATATAATATATATAAATTGACACTATCAATAGTTACTCAAGTAATCCGTACTGCTCATTAAGCATTAATAAATCTGATGAACTGAACTGTATCTAGGGCACTGTGCACACAGACAGTAGATCAGTAATGTCATCAATATGGGGATTCAAATTATTAAACTTTGAGTAATAAAGGGAAGATTGTGTTAAGTTATAAACTCTATACTTTCTAGGATTTGTAACTTACAGTGAAAACCTGAAGTCTAACTTTACATGATCATCAAATTGAAAAAATAATCAAGTTTCACTGAAGAAATCACAGTCTCCTAAGGTACATTAAAATACAGACATCAATGTAAATACAGAGGATAAAAGCTCATTTTAAGCATTGAATGACAGAGTATGATACAAAAAGATGACTTCAAGTATTTCATGTGGTAAAAATTGACATTTATATGGTAATTTCAAAGGCTGATTACTTCCTACACCTAGGAATTAGATTCAAAGCACAAGTAATTTTATATGCTGAGACATGACAAGAAACATACTATATCAAAAATAAAATCTCTTGAAAAAATTTAATAAAGTGTAGAAAAAAGACTGAATCTGTAACATGCTACTGCTAAACCAGTTTATTTTGGAGAATAATTTTTTAAAAGCAGCATATCCTTATTAAAGCAAAAATAGTGCGACTTTTCCCTGAAGGGTCTTGGATAAGTAAGAATCATAGAGATAGGAAGAGCTTCAGAGTTGGGATGGATATTACAGGTCAAGCACTTCTTCAACTTTCTCATATTTGAGATAAGAAAATCTAAGCCCAAAGAGAGAGTGCTATAATGATTAAAAAAATGAGTAATTGTAAATCTAGTTTGGGTTTAAAATTTATATTCTGACACTTTGTGCAATACTTAAAATTTCTAATATATAGAATATTGTTGAGCCCTCAATAGTCACTATGGTTAATAACAAAAAATATAGCTAAGCTGTTCTGGTAGTTAAGTTTGTGTGTCAACTTCGCTGGGCCTGGTTGAGTGGCTGGGCAGCTGGATGTAGTATTCCCCATGATGAGACTGGTAATCAACTCCATGGCAGAATCTCCTGTGGGCAGCTGAGTAGCTGCCTAGGGATATGGGCTGCCTCCTGCATGTAAGGAAAAGCCTTGGGGAACGGTCTCTAGCTTATGGCACACTTGAACCCTACATGTAGCTGTGTTGTTGTTCAGCAGCCTTCCATGCTCTGCCAAAACTGGGATTTACAATGGACTTGAATTAATGGCCTGCTATGTGGTTTGGCAACATCAAGACTGTATCTTTTCACTTGTCAACCTTGGGCTTGCCAAACTCAGCAGCCAGAAGCTGTCTGAAGAAAAGCCTCTAGTTTCAGTGGACCAGGAGCTGGAGGCAGAGCTGAAGCCCAAGGATGAGGGGCTTTTACCCAGCCCCCAGAGCATGGCACTTGGAACGCAGACTTAAACCCTCCAAACTGTAAGAGAATAAACTCCTGTTTGTTAAGGCCATCTCATTTGTGGTATATTTTCTTGTCAGAGCAGTACTAAGTAACCAGAACTGTTGTCGTTAACAAATATTTACTGAGCCTCTATTATGTCCCAGATACTGTTATAGGTATATGAATTATATCAATAAGCAAGAGTTTTATATTTATATTTTAATTTTTCAATTTTCAATTTATAATTTTTCAATTATACTGAGAGGCAGTAGTTTAATTTTCACATAATCACCCTGAAAGAGCCAGGGTAAGTACTGTCATTCACACTTTATATGTGAAGAAATGGAAACTCAAGGGCAAAAAATTGGTCCATGCTTCAGTCAGACTGACTAGATTCAAATGTGGTGCCCCTACCTCCTCCTGGACAAGTTACTGAGTCTTTTTATGGTCCAGTTTCCTATCTGAAAAATGAAGAAAATAATAACGTATGTCCTAATGTGTTGTGAGGATAAAATGTGGTAATACACATAAAGTGCTTAGAGTAGTGCCTGGCACAGCCAATGCTTACATTTCTCTTTATAATAAAGAACAACAACATTACCATTTGTCTATTTTGATAACAATACATTTCTAAGACTTACCTTGATTTAATATTTTCAAATTCTTTGATTTTTAATGCTGTGATTTCTTTTTGTCTCTCTAGATCTTGTGACACTTGCTTCAGTTTGATCAAAAGTGAAGACAGAGAGTCATCCTGCTCTGCCACTGTCTGTTCCATCTCGGCCAGACGAATGAAGTGCTTGTTGGTTGGAACTGAAGTAGGAGGCTGTTTCATTAAATCCTATGAAATATGAATGTATTAGTCATGGACATTTAGAAATCAACATCACACATACTGCATATTTTAATTTTAGGCCTCAAATGATCAAAATGTAGCATCTAATCAACAATATAATAGGCAATGCAGGTTTAAAGAAGATAGAACCTTAGACAATAAAGACTTTATTCTTTGTATGCACAGCACGCCTAACAAAGTGCCACATGCCATGGAGGATCAACAAATGCTGACTGGATTAATTTTATTTAATATTTTACTGTTATTTGTCTAACATAAAGTATCAAATTAAATATAAACTGTTGAATGGGAAATTAATTTGATGTGTACACTTTCACCTAAACCATAATATTAAAAAAAAAAAAAAAAATCAATAAAAGATAGACCCTTACCCAAGCTGTTTGTTTGAATTTATTGAGTGAACTATCAGCCTGTAGTTCTAATTTATGATGAAGAATATGAAGGTCTTCCTCATGTTTCTTAACAATTTCTCTTTGCTCCTGTTTTATAAAAAAAATCAGTCACATCTTAAATTGTGATTCAAATGAATTCACATTCTAAAAATCATAAATATTTTATTAGTTTTCAATCCCAGCTTTATATCATAATTTATTCTGAACATTAGAATAATATGTACTCATTACGTTTTCCCGTTTTAATTTCAGAAAAATTTAAAAGTGTTAAATTCCACCCCTCACAAAGTTCCAGGAAATATGGTTTCCACTGATAACCAGTGTGACAGGTTTCATTCTAACCTACTGCCTCAATGCTTACCTACTAACTTAATTGTAATTTTTCCAAAGCATATGCTCTTATCCTAGCAGCTATTTCTGATTTAGTCAGTCCCTAACAGAAAGATACATGTTCATAAACTGTCAGTTTTATTGACAGATCTATAATTCAATCATATAAAGTCATAATTCCTAAAGAGACTCATTTGAGAGGAAGAAATGAACTACCATTTCAGGGCAGAATAATATTTGGTTTTTTATTAGAAACATGATAATAAAATAGCACAACATAATAGAACCAAATACCTCTCTGGCTTTTTCTAGGAGATGTTGATACTTCTTTAACACTTCCTCCTTTTGATTTAACCTGGCTTGCATATTTGCAATGGTCTGATGAGCAATTTTTAATGTATGATGATATTGTGGTTCCATCTCTTTTCTGTTGAACTCAGTAAAAAGTTTTTCTCGTTCTGCTGTGGCAGGTAATCGAAGCCTTAATTCGTTGATTACTTTGTCTCTTGAAAGAATATTTTGCTCTGCTAATAATAAAGCAGATTCTTTTTCTTTTAATTTCTGTAATGATCAAATAATAATTCTTAAATATATTTTTTTTTCCTTTAACAATGCTTTGTCTGAACTTTAGAAAGACTGGTTTGAAGCAAAAACAGGAGTTTCACTTTACTTTACACATAATACTTATAATACCCATCTGATATTAAGTAAGTTTATTATATTTCTATATAACAGCACACTCACAGTAATTTGCATGTATATTTTATTTGGGAGCTCTGGTAGCATAGTGCCTAAGGCACTTGACTGCTAACCAGAAGGCTGGCAGTTCAAACCCACCAGCCACTCCTCGGAAGGAAGGTTGGGCAATCCTACTTCCATAGTGATACTGCCTTAGAAACCTAAGGAGGGGTCGCTATGAGTCGGGGCTGACTCGACGGCAAATAACAACCAACAACAACATTTTATTTAGTTATAAGAATATCACATCTTAGAAATGTCCTTGTGCTAAAGATGAAATTTAATTAGGCCTTTTACTTATTTAGATCTTGCTCTATTAGAACTAGAAATGCATGTTAGATTTAGAAAGGAAATTTAATAAATCATTCCTTATATTTAGGTCCACCGACTGTCAGACTACCAGAAAAACAATCCACAGAAGTCAGCTAAGTTCTGAAATTGTTACTTTAGAGGCCAGAGCCAACGACTCACTATGATAAAATCTACAGTTTATTAAAATAAAACAGAGGAAGGTTGTTTACGCTTCACTAGGATTAAGACAGATGTTTTAAATCAAGTAACTCAGTGCCAATTCACACATATGACAAGTCTAGTTATAAATAATGAAGGAAATCTTAGTTTTTTCAATTAATTGAAATGTATAATTTTACTTGTAAAATTATTTTAAAGTGTATTTACAGCTAACATGTTTTGATGGAAAGTAAAATGAAAATCATATTCAGTTTATATAATTTTCTGGATAATTTAATAAAGAAGGTTGATTTGATTTGATCACCTATTAAACAATTCAAGACCTAGATTCAAAAGAAAAGTAATTTCTAGTTTATCTTCAAGCCCTTTTACCACCCACAAAAAGGAATGAGCTGAAAATTGATCCAGAGTGCAGTATACAACATGCACTTCAAATAAAACAAAACAAAGATGAAAATAATCGATTCTTGATCACACAGCAAAGGTCACCTATACTGCTCATAAAACTACAACTAAACGGCCTTGTCTTTCCCTTCATGCTAGCATTACTGATCAGTATGCCCCCAAAATGAGAAGTAGTGATTGGCTAGTGAATTCAAAATAGGCACATCTGCTGTTCCTTATTGACTATTAGAACAGAAGAGAGGAAAGGCGAGTGGAATTAGCAACAGGTACTATTTATCATTCTGTGTTCTGCCCTCACTACTAAGGATTATTTAGAAATTATACAAACATACCCAGTAATACTCTAATTAGAATACAAATTTATGTGGTTACCTCTTCTAATGATTTGCAAGTTGCTCTTGTTTCTAGGATTATTCGAACATTCTCCTTAATTTTTCTCAGCGCAATCTCAAGTTGATTTGCAAGGGGCAAACTAGGGTCTGGCATCGATCCTGTAGCCTCTTCAAACTGTTAAGAATTAGAAATTTTTTAAAAAAAGCAGTTCCAGCACTGAGAAGAGCAATGTTAATTTTTGTAACTATAACAAAACATAAGTGAACCTCCATTTGTATTTTAAATGTAAAAAGATAACATCAGTTAAAATCACATTTGACTTTAGAAAATATATTATGAGTTAACAGTTTAGGTCATGCTATAGAGGCTGCACAATCATACGTTAGAATCATTCATACCTTTTGTGCTGCATTTAGTATTTCATTTTGTTGACGGTCAAATATGTCTAACTGGCGTTCCAGCTCAACTTCTCTTTGATCCCAGGCCAGTTGTCTTTCTTCATGAAACTGAAAAAAGGCAATCTGTGTTAGATACATACATGCAAAGAAGAACAGGCATATAACAGGAACTCTGCATATATCTCTTTATCTACTCCTCACAACAATCCTTTAAGGTCACTACGATTATTCTTATTTTATGGAAAAGAAAACAAATTCAGAGAGGTAAACTAACTTGCCTAACAGCACAGAGATAGAGAGATGTGAAGTCAGAATTTCAATCCACCCACCCATCATTCATCCAACACATATTTAATGACAGATACTATTTGTCAGGGATTATTCTAGGCATTAAGAACACAGCAGTGAACAAAAGCAAGTCCCTCTCACCATGAGACTTACATTCTAGCAAGGGTACACAGACAATAAATAAGCAAGTAGCTATGTAATATATCAGATAGTGACAGGTAGAAAAAAATGGACATCCTGAAGAAAGCAGTAATACACGGGAAAAAAAAATGAAGCCAGGCAATCTTTATGGAGGGAATCATGATGGTAGGATTTACTGTTGTATATGGAGTGGTTAGTTAAAGCTGCACTGATATAGTAAGACATATGAGGAAACAATACAGGTATCTGGGATAAGAACAATCTAGGGAGAAAAAGCAACAAAATCTCTGATGCAAGCAAGTGCTTGATGAATTTCTTCTGCTTCTAAAGTGTGCATGCTTTATCTACATCAAGATATCTTTTCCTATTCTGACAATGAGAGTCAGCAGAAACTATGAACAGTCAAGTAACTAATGCTGAAATTGAAAACCAACATATGAAATAAGTTCATGCATTATTTCTTATAATTAAAACCACAATTATAATAACTGAATAAATATACATATTTGGAATAGTTTTTAGGAAAAGAATATATTATAACACAATAATAGGAGCTATATTCAATTAGGAGAATAATGTAGTCACTTAGGCAATTTTCATGTTTTAATAAAAAAAAAAAAAAAAAGATAAAATGAAACCTTGTTCTGTTGCACAATTTCTTCCTCTAGATTACTGATTGTATGCTCATACTCAGAAATTATGTTATTCAAATATTTTATTTCTTCTTTATCCTTTACCAATTCTCGATTTAGTTTAAGCTCTTGAAGACGAAGTTCTTCTATTTTCATGTGCCAACTGATTACCTAAAGATTTACAAGTTACATATATAAATATGAATGTTGTATAAATAATTTCTCCACAAATCCTAACGACTTTAATTGAAATTAATGAACAATATCCTATAATAAAATAACACACACAACTATTTTCAGTCAAGCTACATAGCTGAGTTTATTTAGAACTTCCAAATGCTCTTTTGTAATACGTGAGATCTTAACATAAAACATTTGTTAAATTACATTGGATTAAGATATAGTTTATTAACATATGTTGTTGTTGTTGCTATTGTTGTGTGCCGTCAAGTCGAACCCAACTCATAGCAGCCCCTTCCTTGGGTTTCTGAGGCGATATCACTACGGAAGTAGATTGCCCAAACTTCCTTCCGAGGAGTGGCTGGTGGGTTTGAACTGCCAGCCTTCTTGTTAGCAGTCAAGTGCCTTAGGCACTATGCTACCAGAGCTCCTTATTAACATATACTTTCAGTTTTTCACCACCGTCATATATTTATTAAGCACTTAATTTACTGTGCAAGGCATTATAACATTAATTTTACTTTCAAAAAATAGAAATCCTAAGTATTTCCAGCCTGGCAAGTAAGATTAAGTTGCCAAATAATTGTATTTCATTTAATTTATTATCAAGTGGAGGTAAAAAATGCATTATATTAAAAAGTAAATATAGATCTACTCTTAGAAATAATTTTAAGCAGCTAATATTTATGAAGCTATAAAGAATAGATTTCAAATACAACCACTAATGGCTAACAATAATTTTAATAAACACTTAATTAATGAATTAATTATGAAGGTTTCTACTATTTAAAATTTTTTCATCTCATATAATATAAACATTTTTACTAAATTTTTGTTTAGAAAGTTCTTTTTTTAACAAACAATGCACATTCAAGAATCAAAATTCCTAATTTATAAAATCAAAATTAGCAAATATACTGTTGGTCATATACTAATCATTTTTCATATAGGTACATACTAGAAGAGCTTAAAATTACTGAGTAACTTTTGGAAGTACTAACCCTAAACCAGTGGCCTACCTTCTGTGCTCCTCTGGAATCCTTTAAAGTGCTTATTAACTCTTCTAGGCCCTTTAACTTTAATTCCACTTCCAGCGTTTTCTTCTCCATATTTCTATGTTCATTTTGAAAATTTTTCATGTCTTGCATTATCTTAAGTTTGTCATTTTGCAGCTGAATCATTGTTTTAGAGAACTTCTCCTGTTGTGCCAAGGGTAAAGCTCCACTAAACTGTCGTCGCAGAGATTGAATTGTTTGGCGCAGATGTTTTGCCCTATTTCTTCCCTCCAAGCGAGCATAATAGAGAGTCTGTTCTTTTGCATCAAGTTTTTGCTCTAAGCGCAAATTAGAAGCCTCCATCTTCCGCAGTTTAGATGTAACTGACTCCAACTTACCAAGAGAAGTAGCTTCACTAATTTGAAGACAGACAATATGTTGGTGCAACTTGGCAATTAGTGCCTTTTCATCAGACTGTGCCTAATTTAAAAAAAAATATATACATATTTGTAGTAAGTTCCAAAGTTTTCCAATTGAACTTATCGTGGATTTAAAAATGACAATTTACTACATAAAATTTTAAAACAATGGTACATTGGAGCCTATAAAAATCTAACACTGCTTTAATACAAATAATTACCAAAGAAAAAACCCACAGAATCAAACATGTTAAAAATCCAAATGTCACATCTAATTAAATGTTGGGATATTACTGGTTTTTTAATTTACATATGCAAATAACAATATTAGTCTCATATTAAAAATGATGTAATAGTTATTATTTTTAATCCTAAAAATCTTATATGTGAATTTGTGAAAACTACATATAAATATATATATCTCTGGTAGCATAGTTCCTAAGGCACTTGACTGTTAACCAGAAGGCTGGCGGTTCAAACCCAGCAGCCACTCCTCGGAAGGAAGGTTGGGCAATCTACTTCCGTAGCGATACTGCCTCGGAAACCCAAGAAGGGGTCTCTATGAGTCATGTCCGACTCGATGGCACATAACCACAACAACAACAACATATAAACTATTGTTGTGAATGACTACTATTTATCAGCGTCTTAACTTTGATCAATAACTAGCATGATATAGCTACAGACACTTAAATAGTTTTCTGGATTATGGATGGTATTTCAAGCTAAAAGTGATTTTTCTAATCTGACTCTAACTAATAAGAATAGGACCCTATGGTGGGCCTATCTGCAGATAAAACTCTAAAGTCATCCCAATAGCTAACGTAAATTTAAGAGAAAGGAGATTACATCTGTAAGTGCCAATACTCACATACCTGATAGTCTAAAAGTTGCATTCTGAGGGACTCTACTTCCTTTTCCCTGGACTGTTGCTGTGTATTCAGAATTTCAACTTGCCGTTTAGCAATATCGGAAATCTCTCGCAGTCTAGATAGTGATAACATAATTCAGGAACAATTGAGTACATTTTCTAAGTGAATATTATAATTCAAATTTCTAGACCACTGGAAAAGTCACTAGTTTCCAGCATCTCTTTTTAGTATGAAATATTAAAGCAAAGTTTCCTAAACTGTGTGTCATAAAACACATTAATTCTAAGAGCTTAAACAATGTTCTATGAAAAACTCCATTCCAATACTCCATTCCCCCCCGAAAATTCATAACACATAGTATTTGTATCAAAAAGTCTAAGAAGTTCTAAAGTAAATAATTATCTAAAAGTGGATTTAATTGTATCTTTTTCCAAATGTGTATGGCCAAAGAACCTTTCTCACACACTTTTTTTTTCCTTCATGATATACTAGAACAAAATAATAAATAGGCCCATCTGATATAACTGTAGAGTTAAAAATACAGGAATTTTAAATTCCTATATACCTCAGGTAGATTAAGGTATGTTCTGATTTATTTCAATTTATAATTTATCAGAAATATGAATAAAAGCAAAGTATGCCTTTACTAAGATTACAAAAAAGGAGCTTGATAGTAATAAATCCTTCAATTTCCCATATGACTACTGTGATGAAATAACACAGGGAAAGTGAAATGAAAAGTGTTTTTTGCTTTGGGCTAGAACAAATGTAGCTAAGTATGACTGATAAACCTGGTTTTCTTACATTGACCAGAAGTCATCTCTTATTTAAACTTTTGACTAACAAAATAAAATTAATAATTACAAATTACTTCATTTCAAAAAACTGAGTTCCATGAGGACAGAGGAAGAACAAATAAAGGAGTCCTTAATGAAAAAGGCTGGGAATAATGGACTATACTTTCTGGTAAGCCACAGGAATCATTTTTAACTAGTTATTTGTGCTTGACAGTTAAGTCAGTGCTTCTCATATTTTTCTATAAAAGTAGCAGTAAATTCTCATAAAGACCCTATAGGACAGAGCAGAACTACCCCATGAGATATCTTAGGCTGCAATCTTTATGGGAACAGATTGTCAGGTCTCTTCTCCTGCAAAGCAAATGCTGGTTTTGAACCACCCCCCTTTTGGTTAGCAGCTCAGTGCTTAACCATTGTGTCACCAGGACTATGACTCAGAATCAACTTGTGGGCACACCACAAAGCAGCTAATTACAAAGAAGAATGAACACACAGCCTCTATTTGGCACACAATATTTAGTCCTTACATAGATTTTGTGTTCTAAGCTAGCTGAGCCTGTTTCCTCACGTAAAATGAAAACAATACTGTTACCTCAGGGTTATTAAATTGTATGAGTTAATATATGTTTAATACATGGAACAGCGCCTACCTAGTATATAGCAGATGCACAATAAATATAAATTAAGTCAAAATCTGAATTTTTCATTATATTTTTACAACAACTTTATAAAACAGGTAGATGAGGCACTATTATGGCCTTATTAAAGTGAAGAAACTGAAGTTCAAGTAAACTAAGTTTAAGATTAAATAAATTAAGTGATTGTTCTCCCCATCAAAAAAATGACTATGTGGCGGGACTAGGCCTCAGTGGTTTCAGTGCTCCAGAATACTACCCAGATTCTGAAACAATGTGAATCTTAAGAGGTTAATTCTTCTTCTATATTATTTAACCTTGTTGAATACCAACCTTGTTTATATTACTTAACTTCTTTCTTATAAAAAAGAAACCAGTATCACTTGCTACAAAGAATATTATACTTATGTACTTATAATTACATTCCGTAAAGATAAATTCAAGCAGACACTTAAAATCAAACTGGATAAAAAGTTGCCTGTACTTACTTTGACACTTCAACTTTTAGTTCCATTTCATTCTTCTCTAATTCTAGAATCCGTTGCCTATCAGCATCACTGACTGCTTTGCTCACACTGTCGGCTAACTCATCTCTCAACACCTGTTCCACCTTCTGTGCATCCAGATTTATTTTAGTAAGCTGAGGAAAGGGAACATGAAAAAATGTTCAGACATAGTGCCTTGGCAAAGGTTTCCTCGTAATTTAACTTTCAGAATGCAGTGATACTGCAGTCTTCTGTACTCTGCATTAGTTCAGATACTGAATTAGATGACTAGAGAGGGGAAAGAGTCAGGGGCCAAGTTTAGAAATAATAATTATATTTCAATCCACCAAAAGTAAGCTTTATTAGACAATTTTTTATTTAGTAATATCTGACCCTCTGATTTTCTTAACTTGCTTGGAATGTTTTGCTATATTTTGTGGCAACTAAAATATCTGTGAATGGCATTAACTGCCAAGAAGTTTAATGACTCTGATTACATTCAAAAAAGTCTAAAACCACCTATTAGATTATAAACTTCCCGAGGGCATAGATTACTGTCTATTTGGTTTACTGCTATAGTCTCAGTCCCTATACAGTGCCTAGCAAGTAACAGGCACTCAATACATATTTGTTAAATGAAAAGATGGTAGCAGAAAGCAATTCCATTATTAAACAAATAATAAATTTTTTCACATTAAATGCAATAATATAAAGTAGGTGAGAAACAAGAACTAATTCACAGAAACATCTGCTTTGTTTTTAAACATTCAGATTTAAAAAGAAATCATTTATTTATTACATGAAACACAGGCACTATAATAATATACTACTTCACAGATACCATCAAACCTCTTAACAATAATAATACAATGCCTACCAATGCTGATTCTGTGCTCACTAATTGCATGAAAAAATTATAATTTCAAACCTCAGCAAATTTGGTTTCCAACTCAAAATTACGTTCTTCCATTTGTTTAAATGAAGTCCTTAAATGTTCATACATTTTTTGAGAATGTTCAGCCCGCTGTCTTTCATTTAATTCCTTCATTTCCAGCATGGTGATTTTTTTTGAAATAGAAACAATTTCACTGTTGGTTATTGATTTCTTGGTCTTGTCCATGTTAGAGTCATTTCCTGTATGCAATAACACTTAAGTCAATCTCATGCTGCATATATCAAAAGCCTATGGAGGATATTTCAGATATTCTATATAAGGAGGCAATACAGATCTGTGGAAAACACACTAACTTTGAATAATGACATATCTAGGGTCTAGACCTGCTCTGCTATGCCCTTCATGTACAATACAGAACAACTCATTTAATGTCTCTGGAACTCAATGTTTTTCATCAATTTAATAATTTGAAAATAAAACAAAAACTTCTTATAAAAACTCACTGCTGTCAAGTCGATTCGCCTCATAGTGACCCCTCCTTGGCTTTCCGAGGCTGTATCTCTATGGAAGTAGATTGCCCCATCTCCCTTCCGAGGAGTGGCCGGTGGGTTTGAACCGCCAACCTTCTGGTTAGCAGTCAAGTGCCTTAGGCACTATGCCACCAGAGGTCCCTTTCCTTATAACATCTTTGAAGTAAGATATTAAGGACTTATGGGAAATCAAAAATATAGTAAATATACATATAACTGAAAGGAAATATGATGATGAGAAGAGATGCAGTGAAGCAACACTACTTTGTGAATATGAACAGTGACTTGATTTTAAAGTCTTACATACTCAAGTTGTAAAGTATAAAAATCTGAAGGCTTATGATTGAAGGATATCTCCAAATATGATCTTTAATCATGCATATTATTTGGATTTTGTATACCTCTAATATCATTCATTCAAGGAGCTCTGGCGGCATAGCGCCTAAGGCTTTTGACTGCTAACCTGAAGGCTGGTGGTTCAAACCCACCAGCCACTCCTCAGAAAGAAGGGAAGGAAGGTTGGGTGACCTAGTTCTGTAGTGATACTGCCTCGGAAACCCAAGGAGGGGTCACTGTGAGTCGGATCCGACTCAACAGCACGGCGTTGCATTGAGTTATTATTCAGTTCTGGTGGTGTAGTGCCTAAGGCATCTGCCTACTAACCAGAAGGCTGGCGGTCCAAACCTATCAGCCACTCCTCGGAAGGAAGGTTGGGCAAACTACTTCTGTAGTGATAACACCTCAGAAACCCAAGGAAGGGTTGCTATGAGTAGTATCCAACTCTACATAGTGACTTTGGGTTTTTTGGAGTATCGTTCAAATATTTTACATTATTTAACTAGTTGCTACACCCTAATTTTATATATGTAGTTGTATTGCCTTTCTTTTGACACAAAAATCTGTGGTTAAATATAAAGAAAACTAAAACCTCCCAATTTACCATAAAAAGGCACTACAGAGAAATGTCACTAGTTACATGGTCATTTTTTGCAGGAAGGGAGAAAAGTTTTATTTTTGCTTTGCATAAAAGACATGCTCCAAAAAGGGACCGGGTTTGCTGGTCTGATAGAGCCTGATGGAACCCCTGAGACTAGGGCCCCTAGCTGCCCTTCAGGTCTGGAATTGAACCCACTCCTGTGGCTTCCAGACAAACAAAAGACAGGCATGAACATTTACATTAGGCAGATACACTCCTTGAAGAGATCAATCACGGGAGACTAGAAAGGCTGTATATGCACAGGGAGACAGCTTGCGGGGCAGGGGTGCATGGGAGGGAAGGACACAGGGAAGAGATGGCTATGGAAAGGAAGCAGGAGAAGAGCAATTGCACTGTGGGAGACTGCAGTCAATGTCATGAGACTAAGTGTATGCGAACTGCAGTACGAAAGGTGAATTTGCTCTGTAAACTTTCACCCAAATCACAATTAAAAAAAAAAAAAAAGATATGCTCCAGAAAATAAAAAATAGTAAAGATTTTTTTCTCATTTTAGAGAACCAAATAAAATTTATACACTTAGGGAAATGAGTTATTTAAAGGAACCAAGCAGCAACTCAATTTGTAAATATCCTCTGTGACACCAATAACGTCCTCCTATTTTTCTAGCTTCACAAGTTTGAGTTTCATAACTGAGTTTTCTCAAAATACTAGCCTTTTTTTTTTTTTGAAGAATAAAACAACTGTTCTGGTGTCTACCTCAGTTTTGAAAAAGCACTTTACTCTGTTCTGTATGTATCTTGAAAATATAGTATCATAGAAAAGCTGCTGCAAACACTGATCATGTAACTAAAGTACAGATTACCAAAAGAGGCTAAAAGCATTAGGAAACCAGCCCATTATGAAATAGAGACTCATTCAGGCAATCTTAAGCACCCTGGATGAAAGAAAAAAATTGTAGTAATATGAGAACACAAAACCCCTCCCCATTCTACATTGTATTAAACTCTGATGATGAAGAGAGGCATGTCACAGGGCTGAAAGAAATAGGTTAGTCATCAACATGAAAAGCTTTTAAAACTTCAGACATATAAACCCATGTGTGGAAGAGATTCGGGTATTTAGAAATTAAGGAATTTCTACAGGACAATAAGTACTTACTAAAGAGTTAAGGTAAAATGAACCAAAAATCTGATGGAACTATATATACTACTCTTTTATATCTTGGTTGAAAGATATCTTCTTTCACATTTAATTTCTTGATGAATTAAAAATTACATTTCTAAAATTAGCTTACCTTAGATTTCCAAATGTTAGGTCTCTCTAAACCATACATGTCAGTTACCAATTTAAACTTGAAAAGCATTAAAGCCCTAGGTCTTGGAAATAAAAACGCCTGACCTAAAGCAGCAAATTTACTTAAAAAAGACAAATCACAATGCTAGTGAGATAAAAGTGTCAAAATGTCACAAACTAGGATAACCATTAGAAAAACTAATATGGGTGTGGTGGTTATGTTTGTGTGTCAACTTGGCTGGGCCTGGTTGAGTGGCTGGGCAGCTGGTGGTAGTTATTCCCCATGATGAGACTGGTAATCAACTCCATGGTGGGATCTACCACAAGCAGCTGAGTACTGCCTTTGGGATGTGGTCTGCTTTCTATATATAAGCAGAAGCCTTGGGGAATGGTCTCTAACTTATGGCACACTTGGACCCTGCATGTAGCCATCTTGTTACTCAGCAGCCTGCCATGCTCTGCTGACCTTGGGATGTACAATGGACTTGAATTAATGGTGTGCCGTGTGGTTTGGTAACATTGGGACTGTGTCATTTTATTTGTCAACCTTGGGCTTGTTAGCCCTATCAGCAGGCACTAGCTGCCTGAGTGACAAGATGCCTCTAGCTTCAGTGGGCTGGGAGCAAGAGGCAGAGCTGAAGCCCAAGGTCAAGGGACTTTCACACAGCCCCTAGAGCCTGGCACTCTGAATTTGGACTTAAATCCTCCAAATTGTGAGAGAATTAACTCCTGTTTGTTAAAGCCATCCCATTTGTGGTATATTCTTGTCAGAGTGGCACTAGGCAACCAGAACAATGGGAAAGCACTAGCAGGAGTCATAAAGATTTTAATAACCTCTGACACAGTAACAGCTCTCTTAGATACACATGAAGAAGTTCACTGTGGCATTATAAGCAGTAACAAAAATAAGAAATGCTAGTGATTTAATCAAGGAGCCTTGTGGCATAGTGGTTAAAACATTCAGCTGCTAACCAAAAGACTGGTGGTTCGAATCCATTAGCTGCTTCACGGGAGAATGAGGAAGCAGTCTGCTCCCATATAGATTTAAAGCTTTGGAAATCCTATGGGGCAGAGTTCTACTCCGTCCTATAAAGCTGGTATGAATCGGAATCAACTTGATGGCAGTAGGGTAAGTTGCTGATTTAATCACAAAACAGTAAATATTACATGGATATGTTACATTTATAAGTGATGAATACAACATGCAAAATATTTTTGATATCTACTAAATGAATACAGTAAATAATAAAACTTTATCATACTAAAGTATGTAATACATGCAAGCACATATGAGGTAATATAAAATGTGATATTACTGTAATGAAACTATGAGCAATATAAATTCTTTTCAAATTTTCTTTGTTTTATATAGAACTTTTCATTTAAAATTATCAAATGATATAAATTCCTAATGTAACCTTACATATGGTGAAAGAACTCATAATACTAGTTTTTATAACATACATATTTCAAAATTATCTCCAGTTATAAAAATCTTTAAATGATTCAAAATAGCTAATGCTTAGTCACATATTTTTAACATACAAGATTTCATTAAATCTAATCTAAGAACAGAAAACAAAAATTGAGTATAGATTAATATAGGATATTATTCATCAAGTGCCTGCTAAATTAAACTTTTAAGTTTAGAGTTTATTTTTATCAACATACCTCCTTTTCATCTGGTATAGAAAAGGAACTTTAAATGAAAAACATTTACTAGTAGGATCTTGAGAGCTCTGGTAGCGTAGTGCCTAAGGCACTTAACTGCTAACCAGACGCACCGCACCAGCCACTCCTTGGAAGGAAGGTTGGGCAATCTACTTCTGCAGTGACACCCCTCGGAAGTCGCTATGAGTCATGTCTGAATTGACGGCACATAACAATAACAGTAGGATCTTAATGATTTTCTATTACTACAGTAACAAGGTTGGGCAATCCTACTTCCGTAGTGATACTGCCTCGGAAACCCAAGGAGGGGTCGCTATGAGTCGGGGCCGACTCGACGGCACATAACAAC